TAACGTACTTCCTCCGATTGATAAGTGAGATTAGACAGTAAACTGGGGGGGCAACAAATGTTAGCGAATGCCATCTAGATTTTATAGAGTGCAGCTGCCATGTCTAGAGGGTAGCCTGAGGAATTGGGATCACAAAAATTGGAGTCCCAATACCAGTTTCACCGCTGGACTGGAACAGTGAAAAAAGTCTCTAAATTCGAAACCCAAAATTTAAGAAGTGGGCCTTTTGAATGAAAGTCACCATTTCAGTCAAATCTAATTTAGATTTCGGCCCATCATTTGATGAAACTCTCACTCACATTTTCAATGGTGTAAACTTTCCCTAAGAGGCCAAGGCAAATCACGTCTTTTGTTCACGACACTCGGGGCAAATGAAGTTTGTCACAGAGCTAACGACGTTACGTATGCGATGATCTATGAATTCACGTTGTTTTGAAACTGTCAAAGTGCGGGAGGAGCCTGTGCTGGAGACAAAACATGCCTCGAGGCAAGCCGAGCCTAAGACACAGAAAGACTTCTTTGCAACCCCCCCCCCGCCCCATTTGGCTAAAACGTTCTCAATTCTCTCTCCACATGACCCCCCCGCAGTCATGTTTGTGTTGCTGGTGCTACTCGGACAGCCAGCTGAGCAGCATCGGAGCGATGAACGGCACCAGTGTCCAGTGCAAAAGCCCCGAGCCCAACAACCTACTCGCCGACCGCAGTCTGCGGAAAGACAGCGACTGAGCCTGTGGCGCTCGGACACTATTCTAAACAGTTAGGCTTCCAAAATATACTATGCATTATTATGTCACTTTTTTTTCAGAAATATAGTACTGATACAGCCTTGCATGACACTAGCAGAGGCACCGAGGAAAAAAAAAAAAGGTTTCTCAGGAACGGACAAAGTTGCCTGGAGGGCTTCGAGTCACGGGATGCATTTGAACTGTAAATTACCGGCACGATTCCAGAACAAGGGCAGGACGGTGCGGCACAATGGAAAAGAAGACAACCAGCTGTCGGAGGAAATGACGGCAAACGAACGCTCGCGTCCATCCCAGGAGTCGGAAAACAGGAAAGCGTGTTAGTGACAATTAATTCTCCATCGAACACACCCGTGGATGTACTCATTATTCATTTAGCCTCATTGTGTCATCAACTTTTGAGCTTAAAGTCGCTCGGCATCTTTGAATATTTCACAAACGAATGGTCACAGAGACAGCATAGGAAAGACTTCCTCTCAAAACAATGTGACGGTGGCAGTATTTTTGCGAGCGTAATTCATAAAACACGTACCCATATGTCCACTTTTATAAAGTGATTTTATTTTTGGCCGGTAATAGTAAATATTAATCAATGACAAAGGCAGATGAATAGTAACACAGCCCATCCCTGCATGTTCACGATTCAGCATTCACAAATTTGATTTTTTTTGGAGCTTCAAACTCACCTAGCTGCTGTTTTTGTGGTCTGGCCAAAGCTATGTCTAATATAAAATAGTAATTTGGCGCCAGATGGGGAACACCTTGCAAAATAGCTAAGGTGAACTGAGGGGAGGAGCTTCATTTAGTCAGGCTTAGTGTAGGCTTGTCTCATGAGGAAAAAAATCTGCTTTGCCGCCATCCTGTGGCATCTTCAGGCAATTACAAAACCTTGTTGGATGGGCGTCAATCCATGATGTGCAGAACGTCATGTGAGCGAACTTGGAAAATGTGATCATTGACTTCCGATAACAAGCAAGGGAACTGCTTGGTGGCGAGATTGGTTAAAGACGAACTTGCTTCAAAAAAAATCAAATAAAATACATCTTTTTGCTAATTTTGTAATCATTTTTATTATTCTTTTTAAATAATGGCTTATCTGTTTGTGTATGACCGTATCATGGATTTGTTTCCTTTAAGTTAAAAGGTTCTACATATTTGGTGAAGATACAGTCAGCTTTATACGAACATAACTTAGCCTTACAACTCGAAACAACTTTTCAGTCCTTGCTAAAATGTAAGTACAAAAGTAATTGAATTGATAAATAATATTTGACGGACAGTGTGTGTGTTGCCAGGCCGATTATGCTACGTGAGCACAGCAAACTCCCACGCTAACCAGCCAGCCATTCCACTGCTGCGCTAGTTAGCCGCAACAGACGCTAAGCTAAACCGGACGTGTCTATTTCTTGGCAAGTATTCCCTTCGCAGCATCACCACTTGGTACCAAAGAAATATTCTGCCTTGTACTTTAAGTGTAAATTTATTTTCGCTTCCCTCAACATTTGAATGCACCCGTCTGACTGTTTGATGTTTCAGTTCCATTTGCAATTTTTGCTTCACTCAAACTCAGCTCAAGATTATCTTCTATTTTCGATTCATCCTGAATATTGACCCCAAAACCGACCATAAACCATTTTTGTGAGCACTCTATGTATTTTTGTATGTGTGTGTTTAAGAGTGATGCGTGTATATCTAAAGTTGGGGTGTTTTGCACACTGTGTACAGAAGGATTGACCAAATATGTACATATGTTGCCGTTGCTATCATTGTTAGCATCACTTCTTATCCCAATAAATCCAGGTCCAGTGCAAGTTTATTTCCCCAGCCCGCACTAATATCAGCTCCTCAGGGGGAGTCAAAAGGAGAGCTCTTGTTTCCCCATTCGGCATCTGTGAGAAAAAGACGTCTGGGAGTGATTGCAAGCACACAGTGACCCGCTGTGACCGAGTGAGGCCTTAAGGCTTCCTGATCTCCGTTCGCAGAGGATGTGGGAATTTGAGACGCGTAACTCGATTGTCACATGTGTTGCCAAAAAACAGGATCAATGAGGAGCTTGAGATTTTGTCGTTTCTCAGCTCAACGTGGCAGGAATGCGTCTGTTTTCTTTGTAAATATTACCGTTATGGTCGGGGGGAGTACCACCTTGAGAAAAGCTCAAGGCAGGATTAAGCTGCGACTAACTCAAAATACTATTAGACAATTTTTAAATCATGATCAATTCGTAACGTTACGATGTTGCTACTGCAGAATATTGCAAAGTTTTCTTATAATATCATGCCATTATTCTTATTCTTTTTTTCTTGAATTTCCAATTATGAGACTTTTTTTTTTCGGAAAGACAGTCATCATGCTTGCAGACGTTTGTGATTGGTATCGACACCAGGTATCATATATTGACCAATTCCGGCCTCATACTTAAGCATCGGGTAATCCCCAAGTCTGCTGATACCAAACACCGATACTTCAAAGTATCTCTGACATTGAGTAAATTCTCCTCTGCAGTCGTTGGCGCTGTACTGCGGCAGTTTGACACATCGGCGAATCGTCGTCTGCGTCAGAAAGAAAGGTTTTGTCTCCTTTGTAATGCATTCTGGAAGCGCCATATTGCCCAACTGTGAGGCACGATCCACATGAAAAGAAAAATAAAGCAAATCGGGACGGATGCCACATCCTTTAAGCTAAAACACCTCTCGGCTGTGATTAAACGCGACATATGTTTATCCACCCTAACCCTCGTGGCTTTACCCTGCTCGACCGTCCCTCGGAGGGACCCATTTGCTCGTGTGACTCGTGGCAAAGACGATGTCTTATTCATAAAAAGCCAAAAGGAGAAAGTCAAACATTCATGAACAATCTGTCCTGAAACAACCGGTTGGGTTGGGGCGTTTGCTACGGAGAATAAAAGTTCTGCCTTTTGTGAAGACAAATACACCGCATGGAGGAAGAACCTCCAAAGTCATATCATTTTTTTTTTTGTTTTTAGGTTTGTTGGGGGGGGGGGAGGTTGTGTGTGACATTTGTTGTTAAACATACAGGATTGTCACCACCAGGTGAGTGTAGTCAGGTGATGGATACAGTTTGAACGGAATTTATCTATTCGCATTATTTCCTCTGGGGAAAGACACATTTTGGATATTTGAACTATGAATAAAAATTCTGAATGTAGCCCTGTTTGTACAAATGGTATTTGGACTTGTAAAATACTGACGGCAAAAGGACAGAATGTACACTGCTGTGTTTCCTTTTAATATGAAAAGACTCATCCGCCAGTAAATTCAAAATTAGATTTTTTTTTTTTTTTAAACACTTGTATGGCAACGAATGCTCCAAAGACTTTAGTGGGCAGGAAGCTGATGAATCTCCATTTATATTTCACCTCCACTGGTGAATAGTTTTTATGTTATTTTTATTCAGTATTATGATGGCAGCACAATGCACAATGTATTTTAACACAGCTTGGCCGGGTATCTAGATTTTGCTCGGCGACTGTATTGATGACTTCTCTAAATGCTTTGCCTCATAAGATATGATGAAAAATCTCCCTGTAAAAGCATTTCAAGATGATTTTGTTTGGAAAACAGATTTTTGCATTTCCACCAAGGTGATATTTCTTATTTATTTTCAAGATACAGTACTAACTTCCAAGGCAAAAAAAAAAAAAAAAAACTGTCATTACTGATTAACAATTGTTAACGAACATCGCCATCTGGTGGAAGGCATGCATCATAAACTTTTCAACCCCTCCCGCCCCTGTTTGAAAACATTCTTCACTGATTGGCTCACGCAAACAATGCCACCAATCACCTTAGGGGTCAAACACGGAAGCAGGAAGAAGCCAACCGAAGGAAACTAGTAAACTTTGAGCCTTAACACCAAAGAAAACCTGGTTGAACTCATTTGGATTCGTCAAAAGATCGACAATTTGTCTTGCTATTTGAATAGCGTTTTAATAAGATATTAAGATTAACGGGGTTTCGACAGCAGTTTAAATACGGCCACGTACGTCGTTTGTTGACATGGCAAAACGACTGCCGAGCTAACATTAGCCTAGCCACTCGGCTTAGGGGAATTCAAGTCACATGAGCTGACAATAAACATGTCTTCCTAACAATAACGACGACTTTTACTCACTTGGAAGCCTTTGTTAGGGTCGCCGTTCGTCCAACGTTTTGTTAGCCCCGAAAAGCTTGAATTCGGGTTCGGAATATTAAAAAAAAAAAAACAGCCTGGCATCTTCATGTCACGATGCCTTGTTTGTTAGCCCCGAAAAGCTTGAATTCGGGTTCGGAATATTAAAAAAAAAAAAAAAAAACAGCCTGGCGTCTTCATGTCACGATGCCTTGCTCGTGTGGGAATTGGAGAAGATGGATTCGGCCTTTGGTGGTCTTGTTGTATATTTTACTGCTACTTGTGGTCCTGCCGCTGTGCATTTGGGAACTTCAGAAGTCGGCGGTGAGTGTCCCGCCATCACCTGAGCGCGCTGCATTATGGGGCATTTCATACGTTTCTAAAATGATCCATATTTCATTAGAATGAACTTTTTGTTTACATCACAGTGATTTCAAACATGTCATATCACATGATCATGTTTTCCCATACTTGTACGGATTTTGAAGGGGCTTAAAACAAAGCTTGGCATAAGAGCCGCCATGTTGGTCAGGTATTCGGCAATACCAACCATTCAAAGGTATTTTATACAGTTGTTCATGTCACCTGTGGTGATTATTTTCGATATCATTGTTAAATATATCGTGTTACAGTATTTGTATTATTATTTACATAGTTTGGCTGTTTTAACAGGATTTTCAAAAAGCTTGGCATATTGGTACAGTATTGGGGGAAAAACATTTACGAAAGGGCTTTACCAGCAATATTGTCCCCAACAGCAGCCTGACTGCTACATGTTTCGCTAAAATGTTTTTTTTTTCTTGTTCTAAATTATTTTTCTCATGGTAGGTTGGCACTCATAACAAGGCATGGTTCATAGCTGGGATATTTGTCTTCATGACCATCCCCATATCATTATGGGGCATCCTGCAGCATTTGGTTCACTACACTCAGCCTGAGCTTCAGAAACCGATCATCAGGTAAAAAAGCATTTCAAACTTGTACTGGAAACGGCATTTATTTTTATCCTTATTCCTTACCTTTTATTCCCCTCTCTTTCTAGAATATTGTGGATGGTGCCAATATACAGCTTGGATAGTGTGAGTTATTTTCGGCGTCATAAAACCTATCGCTCCTTTTTAATGACAGCGCACACAAGTAGGTAAAGTAGCAGTTAAAAAATAATAACCTGTAACCTGATAACGTGATAAGCTGTCCACTGTAGTAACCGCTGTCCCTGAAAGGGTTAAAGCATTCTGTCCCCCACAAACATACCAATTTCATTGACCTTTTTTTTTTTTTTCCTTCTCCTCAAAACTTTTTTAGTGGATTGCCCTGAAATATCCCCACATCGCCATTTACGTGGACACGTGCCGCGAGTGCTACGAGGCCTACGTGATCTACAACTTCATGACCTTCCTGCTCAACTACCTAGAGAACCAGTACCCGAGTTTGGTCATGATGCTGGAGGTCCAGGAGCAACAAAAGCACCTCCCGCCCCTCTGCTGCTGCCCGCCTTGGCCCATGGGAGAGTGAGTTCACTTCATGTTCGCAGACAAGTATTTTATTTAATGTATTTATTTATTTTAATTGAGGGAGATGTTTCCTTTCCTCCAAAGGGTTTTGCTCTTGAGGTGCAAGCTGGGAGTCCTGCAGTACACAGTGGTTCGACCCGTCACGACGGTTATCGCTCTGTAGGTCAGACGTCATTCATATTTTGAGATACCGCTCGTTCGTTTTGACGCGTCGTCTCCTCGCACAGCGTCTGTCAACTGTGCAAAGTGTACGACGAAGGCAACTTCAGCTCCACCAACGCTTGGACCTACCTGGTGATCGTCAACAACATGTCCCAACTGGTACTGTCGACTCGCCGTTTTTCGTCATTCGTCTCTCTCATCGTGTCGCCAATGTCGTGTGTGTGCGTAATGTTCAAATCTTGTGTCCGTCCAGTTTGCCATGTACTGCCTGGTGCTGTTCTACAGGGCTCTGCGAGAGGAGCTGAGTCCCATCAAGCCGGTGGGCAAGTTCCTGTGCGTTAAAATGGTGGTGTTCGTCTCGTTTTGGTAAATACCGTCAAGGGTTTCTTTTTCCAACACACTAACGACATTTTAGGATTTTTTATTTTGGAGTGGTGGCAACTTGATTTGTTTTTTTCTTCTCCAGGCAGGCTGTGCTCATCGCCTTGCTGGTGAAGGTGGGCGTCATCTCAGAGAAACGCACGTGGGACTGGCAAAGTGTGGAGGCCGTAGCCACCGGACTACAGGTGAACAAATCAAGCGCACACATTCATCAATTTTGCAGCCCGTTCGTGCCGATTATTGCCGTTAGCCCCTTTGTAAAAAAAAAAAACCGTTAATTAGCTTGTTTATGGTGTTTGTTGGTTAGTCAACCAAATAGTCAGTGTTTTTTTCCCCCAATTTTCGTGAACGAGCTCGAGAGTTTTTGTTGTAGTTAGTTGGCTTTTTTTCAACAGTAGTTAGCTAACTTGGTCATTTGTCAGTTAGCTTCTTCGTTGTAGTTCGTCATCTTGACTTCTCGTTAGATTCTTGTTGTTAGCTAATTAGTCAATGTGATTGTTAGTGATTAAGCTAGCTTGTTCACTGTTGTCAGTCAGTTTGATCGTTAGTTTTTCATTTGGCTCGTTGGTTGTAGTTATCATGGCCGTTTGTCAGTCAGTTAGCTTGTTCGCTGTTGTCGTTGGTTAGCTATTTAACGTGATAGATTAGTCGTCATTTTCACTTTTCATTTGATTTAATCTTTCTTTGCCATTCATTGTTTTTCTTTCTCATTATTCGGCTAGCTTGATGACTTGGTGCGCGCGTTCTAGAAACACGCTCCGAGTGCGCAGTGGCTCACTCCAAGCGTTTGGAAACTCAAATTTGATGTTCGGTTCTTCGGTGTGCACCAAAAATAATAGTGGTCGCTAGTTAGTTTGTTCTATTTTTATTCACTCGATCATGAGTTAGGTTGATAAAACGCTTTGTCTTTCTCAGGACTTTGTGATCTGCGTGGAGATGTTCCTGGCAGCTATAGCTCATCACGTGAGCTTCACGTACAAGCCTTACATCCAGGAGGCCGAGGAGGGCTCCTGCTTTGACTCCTTCATGGCCATGTGGGACGTCTCCGACGTCAGGGCCGACATCTCGGAACAAGTCCGCAATGTCGGTCCGTGACAATTCAATTCCATTTTTCTTTTTTTTTTGATATCTCAGCAAATCACAACAACTGCAAAACAAACTAAATGGAACTAGAAATAATTCATGTGAATATTAGACATGGCCATTGTTAGCAAGTCAGTTAAGCAGACAGTCGGTTTGCTTGTCTGTTGTTCTCCACGCTAGTCTTAGTTAACGTCACCACTCCTTAGTTACCCCAATTCTTATTGCTGTAGCTAGTCTGTTGTTGTCATTTAGTTGCTTTGATTGTTAGTCAGCCTGAACGTTAATCAATTTGCGCGTCGGTTAACATGTTAGCTAGGCAACATGATTGTGAGGTGGTTCGCTTGTGTCTCAAGTTTTGTGCAACTTCCGAGACAAAGAGTTGTTGAATTCCAGGCGGCTGTCGGCGAGGCGGCGTCTGATCCGCCGTCGCCTGGCGGGCGCTACCAGGGCATGGGACGGACGCCGCACTCCCTGTCAGCCCCCGCCGGCCTCGGCCATGGACAAGAAGTCGCAAGTGACGCAAGCAAGGACGATGATGATGATGATGCTGCTGCTGATGATGACGACGACGACGGGGGCGGTGACGGCGGAGCCAAAGAGCCAGCCCAAGCGGATCTGATCGTCATCACTTAGTGGCTTAATCGTTCATGAATGGGCAGGCCCCGATGACTTTGCTAACTATGGCAAACCAATTCATAACATGACAGCTGCAAGAATGTTCCGTGTGGAAATGACACTATGTGGGATCACACAAGTGACTCACACGTCTCATTCATAGACTTTGAAGTCACAATTTAAAGCAATAGCGCCTTCGCCATTCAACCTCATTTGTTACTGATTTGCAGGGATATGCACATCCGGGGTCAAATTACTCACTAGTTAACAATGTATGTCATGTACCAATTTGTGCCATGTAAGAAGAGTATTTTAGGGCCACACGGAAAAGTCAAACTAATAAGTACAAGAATGAAGACAGAATGTGATGAGAAGAAAGGCGTACATTTTTTATCAGAAAAAAACACTACAATTTTGTTCTCATATTATGACTGTTTGAAGAAAAAAAAAAGATGTATCCATATTCTTATCAGAAAAAAACACTACAATTTTGTTCTCATATGATGACTGTTTGAAGAAAAAAAAAAAAGATGTATCCAGTACTATATTTACCGTTTGCGCGTTACATCAGAGCCTTCGTGGGAAGGCCCCCTCGCCGGACGGCACAATAACTATTTGCGCCTGTTGAGACCGTTGAACTCCTGGCGTTACATCAGAGCCTTCGTGGGAAGGCCCCCTCCGCCTTGACGGACGGCACAATAACTATTTGCGCCTGTTGAAACCGTTGAACTCCCGTAAAGCGTATAGCCCTGTATCCATTTATCGAAGCGATTATCTTATAAAAATGGTCATCTTGGTGTGCTGTCTAATATTATAGACGAGGGAAACCAAACTGGGCTTTTTATCACATACCTAACGATTAAAGACGGCGATGGATAATAGCAATCAACTGAAAGGACGAGCAAGCCCTCCCAAGTTTTCGAGGATTTGCAGCGATCGTTTTTTTACAAGGTCTGTAGATCATTGTTCATGTATTTTACTCATAATCATTAAATTACTGCATGTTGCTTTGCGCAAACATAGGATGGAATGTGTAAAAAAAAAAAAAAAACGTCAGCATCGTAAGCAACTTTTACCTTCGCCATTACAAGGTATTCCCCCCGGTGTGAGAGTAACTTTTCATCCCAGGGACCAGCCAGCGACAAAATACAAACAAACAAAAAAAAAACTGGCTTGAGTCCTGACTTTTATATCAGCTCCAGCTGATACGGCATTGAAAACAACAATAAAGGGCGTGCGCTGTCAATCAAAAACTGCGATTTGATTAAAACAGTGAACAGAGCTATTCAAGAGGTGGATGTCATGGCTCGATGGGCAAAAATAACTTATCCGTCGCTAAATCGCTCCGTTTTTCCGTCCACTTCAAGTCGGCAGTCATTCACTGTTGCCGTACGTCGTGGTGCACTCACGTGATCACGTGACGTAGCTGCAACGGGTCAATAAAAAACTTTTGTTGCTCTTTTCAGTGTGGTCCTTCATTCTAATGCCTTCCGTAGCTTTATTTTTTCCCAATAAAACAACAAATGGTGGTTTGTTCATAAAAAGACAGTGCCGTTTATATTTTCCCAATTGTATTTATTATTAAAATGTAGGTTTTTGTTCTAAGATTTTCAGAGGTGAACGCAACGCGAAAAGGCCAAGTGGCACAGTTGAAAAACAATTCATGCTACCACTCTGTTGCAACGTCACTCATCTCTCCGCACCTCGATGGAGATGCTGCTGTTGCGGAGCTTGACGGTGAGCCGGACCGTCTCTCCGGCCGCGACCTCAAGTGGGCGCTGCAGGACCACGGCAGCCTGCTTCCAGTGAGAGTTCGGTGCCAGCGTACTGACACGAGTGTCCTCATCCAGGTGAATGTCGTACCAGAAAGGCACCGCAGTGATTCTCCCTGACAACGTCGACCGGACCTAAGTAGAACGGTTGTATAGAAAACCATTTGGTCAAGAAAACGACTTATATTTGGATCTTATTTGGCTTGACTTTATTCATGTTGCTCGTATAATTTTGTGTCACACTGTTGGCTAATTATTATTCTGATAGCTTTCAACTTGTTTCCGTCTTTCTGTATATACAGCAACCCACCTGGACCTCCCTCTCGTCGTAGTTAGCGTTAGAGTCCATGAGGTCCAGAACAAAGAGCTCGGTCGGTTCGCTGAGGTGTCGACACGCCAACGTGGAAAAATCCAGGAAAACGTGGACCGGAACCTGATACACAAAACATGATTGGTTGAGACAGTTGTACGGAACTGGGTACACAGCATGCAGTACTCATTGGTAATTGAATCGTTTACAGTCACTTGAAAAAGGCTTGTGAAAAAAGTTTTTCGAGATGGTCGCCATCTTTCAATTGATTGTTTGATTTATTTATTTTTTTGCTTTAAGCCAGGGGTGTCAAACAAATTTTTTGTCGCAGGCCACGTCGGAGTTACGGCTTTCCTCGGAGGGCCAATGCAAAATCTCAACGTTATTTATTACCTATGGCAATTTGACATTTCAGTACAGATTTCAGCAAGGATCATGAAAGTTGGCACACATGATTTGCATCCGTGGGCCGCATAGAATGACGTGGCGTGCCGGATCTGGCCCGCGGGCCTTGACTTTGACACCTGTGCTTTAAGCCTTTAAGAAACATATTGTGAGCAGGCAATAGTTGCAATCAGGTAGTATTTATCCTCTACGTAGAACAACCAATATTAGCTTACAGCGTCGCCCCATCAGTTTTTGCCTACAGGGGCTTAAATAGCTAAATAAATCTTCACCAGGTGTCACACATTGGCAGTTGAGATGCAGATTTTGAGCGACACACACCCCCCCCCAAAATATATATATATATGTGTGTGAGAGAGAGAGGTTTTACTGTTACACGACAAGCGCAATGTTCATTTTTTAGAATTAGATTTGAAAAATCAATCAAAATAATTTAAATGTATGCTGTTTATTATCTAAATTCACAGTTGCAGCAGATAGATGAAATGACTACAGGTGCGACAGATAGTGGCTAGCTTGACAGTGGATGGTGTTTATTTGCGGGAGGCCTTTTATGGCGACTTACGGTGAACTGATTGATGAACGGTGCGATGTTGAAGCCGAGCGTGGCCTCGCGGCCCTGGACGGCGCTCTCCAGCAGCAGCGTGTCTGACTCCACCAGCATGCCGAACATCATCAATTTATGTGGGAAGACGCGACCGCCGCACTCCAGCAGACATCTTGGGAAATGCAAAACAGGAACGTCGCAGGAGGTCGTAAAATAAGGAAATGTTGATTCCACACTGCATATATCTTGCCTCACCTAGCCAGGGACGCCTTCTCCATCAGCTTCTGCCTGACGAGCCCGCACGTCTCCACGCAGTCCAGGAAGATGGCGCTCCACAGTTTCTCACGCGAGGGCCTCTGTAGCGCACCCTGGTCGTCCTCGCCGTGGTTGAGCCAAAACTCCAAGCTGCCCTCCGAAACGCCGTTGGCGCGCGTAAGGCGTTCCAGCACTTCCTGGTGCTTGCTCTTTTCCACCGAGCTGTAGGCCTTCACGCCACCGTGGCTGGCAGCGATGAGGGACAGCATGGAAAAGCCCTCCGACACATCCAGAACGTACAACGGGTCCGCAGTGAAGGGTTCCTATGAATTTCAAATAACAACATATTATTTATTCATTTTTGACATTATTCTAAACCAAGCCAAACCAATGAGACCAAAACATTTGCTGTATGTATCAAAAAATTTAAAAAACTGAGTTTTTTTTGTAATACAAGTTATTGATTGGGTTTGATTCAGAAAAAATACATGGAAAGAGGACTTTGAAAAATTACAATAATTACAAATACAGTCATACCTCAGTTTTCGACCATAATCCGTTCCAGAAGGCTGTTCGAAAACCAATTTGTTCGAAAACCGAAACCACGCTTTTTTTTAAAAAAATCTTTATTGAACACGTCTGCTCACAATGGGAGGCTACACGAGGACGCGTCACTTCCTCGTGTAAGGAAGGCGAGAGGGGTCAAGTGGCGCATTCAAATGCGCTCAGTTTAGTCAAGAACCGATTTTCGGTCGTAATCCGAAGCATTAAAAACTTGAAATTTTTGGTCGAAAAAAAACATTTGGTCGAGAACATAGATGTTCGAAAACCAAAGTTTGACTGTAGATTATTTTTCAGAATGGTTCAGCCCTAACACTTTTTGTCCACAATCATATCGGGGCTTTGAAATGGTCAAACCTAAGATGGGAGGAGTCACTTGTTAAGACTCAAGAACAATGGGTGGTCCCTGGACCCTGGTTTGAAAGACCTCGAAATTCGTTCAATCAAATTCCATATGACTGCATACTTCACGAACTTGCGAAGGAACACCGGAAGGGTCCTGCAGACTTTGAGATTGGGCCTTCAACCGGCTGATGAGTTTGGACAAAGCGCCGGCAAAGCTCCGATGGTAGTCGGAATTGTTCAAGAGCGCCATTTCCGAGCACTCCAGCATGCAGACGTCTTGGCGTTGCCGCGTTTGGAGCGACGCCAGGGCACTGCACAGCTCCGCTTCCGCGTTGGGGACGAAGTCGCCGGAGTCGCCAGGGGCCGGACACGTGCCGAGACG